ATTTCAAGAATATTATATTACTTGTTCACTGGTCTGTATACTTTGAGAGATAAAAGTGCAACAACATACGACACAGATAGGAGGTTGTCCACATTCTAGTACTTCGAGTACGTTCATGCCATCCTTTGTTCTTTGAATTATGCTAAGTGTACATTCAATGAATTACATCTTTTTTTACATTGTGTGAGAGTTCAAAAAGTATTGGGCTGAAAAGTGTAATTTTTTTTGAAACTGTCCAATCATCTGTCGTCACATGTCACAATATCAAAAATGATGTAAAAAAATATGTACATGTAGCATTATTGTTGTTCTTTATCCCGAGTATAATATCATTCAAAGTAGATGTCGGTCAAATTGTGTGGCTGTCTGTGAAGAATATCTAGAAGGAGTAAGCAATTGGAGTCTTGAAAATCTAAGAAAAGAATACGCGAGTTAATCAAAACCATATCCCCGTCAATCAAACATTGTGATCATGACATTTTTCTGATTTTTCGAAAAAAGATTATACATGTATTCATAAAAAGATGGCATGCACGTGAAGAACTAGAGTGTTAAATATAAAGATGAACTCTTCTAACGTTTAATACTTTTTATTTATAATGAAATTGTCCAATTAAGTAAGACGATATATTAGGCCTCCATTTATTAATTTATACATAATTTATAAATAGGAATAGTAGTAGGTCCCACGAAATGTGTAGATAATAATGAATAGTAAACATGAATGTGTGACTGAAACTAATATTTGACATTGAGTGAATTGTACAAAAGATTCTAAGCTTAAGACTTTTTATATATGTTGAGGTTATTTTCAATGAAATCAACTCATTCGCCTTGACGGGCATGCATTATTATTTCTTTATCCTTAATAGCATGTTAGTTACACTTACAACCGAAATGGAAATCGAACGTTTCGTGGTTCAAAAATGTCGAATCTTCTTAAACTCTTATAATTTGTTGAATTCGTCAAGCTTAGTCATTACATTACATTTTCTTAAGATTTCGTAAGCAAATTCAACCTTCACAAACCGTTACGATTTATTTGGCTTGTCAAAAACGA